GGGAACGGTAAAGAGGTATGTAGTGTGTCCTGGGGGCATGCCATAGTAGAGATGGTCCGAGCATAGTGGGCAGTATGGAATTATTAATGAGGTCCATTGGAGGCTTTTTCTCAAGGAGAAAGTCCTCGCAAGAGGTAGCGCAAAAAAAAAAAAAGAAGCTGGATATGATAATTAGCGAAGTGGTATTAAGATGAACACGAGCAACCGAATTTAAGAGGGACGATGCGAACGTTGCGTGGGAATAGTCAATGGCAAGGGGTGGAGGGAGGGGAAGGGAAGAGGAAGCTATCAAGAAAACTAGAGAGAATATGCAGATGATGAATAAAGATAAGATGCACTGGACGAACATGAAATGCGTAAATGCAAAAACGGAAGATGAACGCGTCAAGATGTGTAGTCAGTCCAATTCGCGACGAAACGCCATGTGGGTAAGGATCATCTCAACTGACCCAACATCCCCAGATCAATAAACCTCGTCGTCCTCTTCATCGCTTTCCACGCCTCGCTGTCCTCATCAAACTCCTCACTATCATCGTAGTTTGACTTGTCGTCAGCGTCATCATCTACCCCGTCATATACACCGTCCTTCCCGTAGATTGAAAGCCCCCATGCCCTAGATTTTCTCGATCCACTGGTGCCAAGCACTCGCGATTGTCGGAACTGCATCTGCGCATGCCGTTCGCACACCATCTTTCCGTCAACCTCCCAATACTCTTTATCCAGCTTCTCCGTACATCTTGTCCACATACAAAGGAAGTGTTCGGGATGATATCGCCCCCCTTTGTAATCAACTGCACACGGGCCCTCAATGGGTTGACCACAGGAAGTCGAACTGCACAAAGAGTTGTTGTGTTTGGCGTAATGATAGGCACACAGAGGTTGATTGTTGAAGACGTAAAACGTTTTGTTTGGGAAGGGAGCCTGGGTCCAAAGCCGACATCGGTTTGGGGGCGAAAGAAAAGACATCGCATCCAACACTCACCTCACATTCGTAACACGTAAAACACTCCTTATGGTACTTGCCCTTCAACTGCCCGTCACGAGACGATATTGCATGCTTCTCGATGGGTAAGTCACATCGGCGACACTGTAGATTGTATGTCACCATTTTTTATGTCCATTGGTGCCAAAAGAACAAGAACTCACCTTGGGCAGATACATCCCCTTCCAACATCCCTCACAAAGCACACCTTTCTTTTTATCCTTCCCATGCTCTCCATCGATCTGAACCCACCTTCCATCCTCGATCTTCATCTCACACCCAATGCACACCCTCACCCGAACTTTTGAGTCTCCTTTATTGACGTTGAGCCCTGGTGTTGTTTTCAGGTGACTAGCCCTCTCTGTATTACTCCTCATAGGTAACTTGGCCGTAAACGAATCATACGGGTCCGCTTCGTGTTTTGGCGTCGTCAGACCTTGTACAGTATTCGACCTCAGGGGGGGGTGTGGCTTTGAACTTGACGCAACAGAAGGTGTCGGCGGCGACAAAGTCGACGATAGTCCGTCAGCATTCGACAAAGCGGCAACAGCATTGAACGCCGATTCGAGCTCTAGATCCTTCTTCGACGAGGTCGGTAATGGAGGTATCTTTCCTTCCCCCGGAACACCACGACTATTTTGCCGTTGTGGTACTCCTCGACTGCCCCTGCTACCGCTAGAAGTGCTTGAGGATGTAGAGTCCTTCCTTGCTCGGGTTCGACTAAAACTCCTACTCCTTCTGACGTTTTGCGCCCTAGTCACAAGCTCCTCCACCTGGTCGTCGTAGCTTGTGCTCTGGGCGTACGCAAGGCCAACTTCCGATCCGTCCGATGAGATAGACAGGTTTTTCGTGTGAGAGGGGGGTGAGCTCGAGGGACTGTTAATTTCGCTAGGCTGTGTTGACAACCCTTTAGGCGACCCAACGTGTAACGAGCTTGGGAGCCCTCCAGGTAACAAAAAGTCCGGATGGCCAGCTAGTACATTACGTGCAGCTGGTGTAGGAGATGTAGGAGTCATTGACAGAGGTGATTGTGTAATCGGACTGTGTAGGGACGGAGTTGCTACTGTAGGACGATATGCAAAGTCAGAGATGCGACAGATGGGTGCAATGAGCGTAGTAGTGAAACAAGGTGTGAACGATGAGAAGCATAACGAAAGAATGGGTAAACTCACTTCGATTAGCAGCAGCGATATCCAGAAACTGTGGTCGATTGCCTCCCGGATAGGGTTGGGTGGGGCTCAAGGGAAGTCCACCGGCGTGGTGTCCTTGAGCTCTGGGGACTAGAAATGATGCAGGACCAGCGACAGCGGCAAAGCCTCGCCTTCCAACGCCAGCCATGCCAGCTTCACCGCCTGTCTTTGTATCTGGCTCGGGAGATCTGGTTATGCCCCCATGAGTGGAAAACATACTGTTGGTGGGATTATGTCCAAAGGGACCGAATGGTGCTTGTTGTGGGCGATGAGCATCTCCCGGTAAATGGTGAGGAGGTGGACTGAGTGGTAATGGGCTGCCGGGAAAGGATGGAGAATCTGGGTGATGTGAAGGAGCTGGTTGGGAGAAGTGAGGTGTGGTGGGCGTAGGCGGAAGGTTGATGGGGGCGGGTGAGCTGTAAGGCAGTGGACGGGGAGAGTGGGTCGAAATGAGATAGGGCGTTGATGAAATGCGAGGATCACTATGAGGGTGTTGTGATATGAACTGAGGTGTCCCTACACGAGAAAACGGTACCGGTGAAGATGGCAACGGAATAGAGACTGGGGTGGTGGAACGAGATGGCGGTGGCTGCATTGGTCGAGTATGTGGGGGTGTACGCGAAGGTGGAGGCAAACGAGACGGATTGGAGTGGTCACGCTCCCGAGCCAAGGGAGGGATATGGTGTGTTGTTTGCGACGGAGGAGCCGTCTTGGGCAACAGAGGAGGGGACGAGACGGGTGGAATTGCTAGAGGGAAGTCGCCGTAACTTGATGAAGCTGAGCGAGTCCTCGTGGTGGAGAAACTTGTTCTGGTCGTCGAACGACTGTTTGAACGTGGTCCAGGAGACATCATCCGAGATATTTTGGATGCGAGTTTAGAGGACGGCGACGACGTGGAGCATATGTGATCTCCTAGCTCTGCTAGACGGACTGGCTCATTACAACTGGAACATTTGACAGTGGGAAGTAATTGGGAAATTCTGCCAGATTCAGAAGATTGAGGAATAGCAAGCGCGGTGGCCATGGGTGTTAGCGAGGGAGGTCGTGAGAACGGCGTTGAACACAGGTAGGTTCAAGGTCGTGACGGTCGTTGAGGAGATGGGAGGGGGAAGGAGAGGAAGTTGACCTTCCGTGAAGAGGGAAAAAATGAACGTGGTGGGTCGGTCGAAACAGCAAATGCCAAGGGTTACGGAGAGGCCCCGCCGATCATTAACAATTTGATCATCAATACCATATTGGGAAAGCGTCTCGCGTGAATATTTTTCAGGCTCTTTCTGATTGGACACGGACTTGTGGCTGCTTTATTCGGCCTCGGATAACTATTAGACGCTCCGGATTTCCCATGCCATCAATTTGGAGCGCCAACAACACCACCACCACCACCATCGACGCGTCCCCGTGGCTAGAAATCGGACTCCCATGCTGCTCCGAACCTTCGACCCTAACGACTTCGTCAACCCTTCCATTCGTAAAGACTCCTGTTCAATATGAATGTCTCTTGTCTTCATTCCTTCCCAGATATGTCGCCCAATTACAACATTAGCGCCACTTAGGCGTTATTAACCTTACTTAGTCCCTCTTTGTAATCCTCTGGTCTTGTACGATGTACCGTTGGAACAAGCTTGCGAGCCACCGTCATTGTTTTTCGTTATCCGACACCAACGAAACGCGTTCTTGTATCAGTGACCCTCGCACCAACCCGAACTGACTCAACGAGACTGTATAAGGATTCGTTTCTATACATCTGATTCCACAAGTACATGTTATCAATAGTTTACCAACTTCATATGGTCGTTACAGTATCCCCAAGGAATTAAACCTCGGTTTTTGCCTATCCAATTCAATCGCGTAGTTTAGCACTGATACCACCGCATTGCTGTCGCTGCGATTAATAAAAGGATGCAGAGGAGGTGCCGGATATCAGGTTTTTTATTGAATACTTCCATGCAGGGCGTTTGTCTCAATGAGCTGTCAAATGTAACGTTGCGACTCCGAGTCATGGCAATTAGCGGTTAAGAATGCAAAAAGTTCGGAAAGAGCACACGATCTCACGCTTCAGAAAAGTGAGCTGACAACTCGGAGGCTCGGGAGAAGGTCTCTCACACGCCTGATATGAGTTTGTGAACCGCGGAGGTCACCTCAGGTATCAAAGCAGAGTACATGTAATACCCAGCATCTCCCACATGTTCCGCGGGCCACACGCACTCACGCCAACCGACGTTGGCGGGACCGGGAACCTCCCCAAAAATAACCGCAAGCTCGGAAAAAAATTATTACAGTCCAAGCTTCAATACCAAGTTGTCTATGGTGGCAAACGCCACGATTAAAAGAGTTTCATTCGATCAGGATCGTGAAACCTCCAAGCATGAAACAAGGAACTTTTGGCAAGGCACATTTCAAGGCAACCTCCCTTTATTGAGGGGACCTATCGGTGACGAAAGTTCGGAGTGCCTGGTCAGCGCCCCGTCGAACTCGAATTTCCACAAGTCCTTGAATTCGTTACTCTACCTTCACTTCTGCTTCGTCGAATTCCAACCAACAGCGTTGTTCACACCGCAAATACAATCCCGAGAACGGGGATCATATCCATCTGATTCTACCGAAGAGTTGCAGCATCAGATATGACCATTTGACGTCGTTTCAAGTACTCGAGATCCGTCCTTTGGAGTCTTCTTCTAGGCGGTAGACACTAAGGGGTCTTCAAGGAACACTCTGAAGTACCGACCGTCCCAGGGGCGTGCGTAATCAAGCGCACTTTAGCCCCCCTAAGATTGATGCAGGCCACGCGAAAAACTGGATGGAAAAAAACAGGCAGTAATGGTATAAATTTCCCCCTAGCCGACTTGAACGACTGACCTCTTCATCGCCAGGTACTAGTGAAGCGCTCTACCACTGAGCTAAGGGGGACGCATACGTTACTGTATAAATGTTTATAATGTGCAGATCACCGAGAGCACGTCAATACAAAAAGTGTCCCTGTCGATGACTCCCAAAAGCAAATATATATCGCCAAAGAAGTGGAAGTACAAAGTCCAAAAAAAATGCTATGCAACTAGCCACCCACCGGATAACCGACCAGGCGCAGGGAGCTACAGGGCGTCTTCAAAAAGCAACTTTCTGGGTTTGCGGATCGTCGGCTTGATCGAAACAAGGTGAGGCCTGTAGAGACAACAAGGTCAGACGGATGTTAAAGTACAGAGAAAGTCCCGTTACTCACATACTACTACCACACCCTTGTGCACTCTTGCCCATAATGATACTTTCACTAACGCCGTCGATCCCGTCAGTCTTACCAAACGCAGCGGCGTCGAACAGATGGTCCGTCGTTTTCTCAAATGACGCCAACATCAACACACTATCCTTCATCTTCGCCACCCCGAATCGTGTTATACCCAGAACTTCCCCCTAGAAATGAAACGTTTGCCATGATTCAGTTGTGGAGAAGTGTTGCTCACCTTGTAGGACATGACATCACCCAACAGCATTACATGTCGAGGATCTATGTTCATGTCATGGCTTTTCATGGTATACTGAATTTCGTTGATAATGGTACGCCGGGCTGCTTCGATTCCAAGGACCTGAGCGACTTCGATAACGTGGTTCGAGGAGGTGTGTGTGCCAATAACACCTATTTGGAGAGTTAGCGCCTTTGTCGGTCATACAGGCAACAAACGCTTTCCTTCTGTAATCATGCACTTCTGTAGCCCATATCCTTCCACCAACAACTCTTTGTCTCCTTTTTCCCCCCTTGCATCGTTTTTGTCTTTGATGTTGATCACAGCGCGATGAATTGTGGGGACACCCTTTACCACAACCTCTGCTAATCCTCTCTTCATCTCCCTTAATCTGTAGAATCTGTCGTCTCCATCCACATATATCCTCAACCGGTTCTTGCGGGGAACAATGATGATGCTTTCCTGCTTGATCTTCAGCTTCTTGGCGCCCACAATAGCCCATTTGATATCATCCAAGGTCAGCTCCAGCTGTAGTTTCTGTATTGCGACTGTGTCCACGATGACCCCGACGTAGGTGTAATCAGGTGCCCACGCCTCCTCAAGCAGAGACGCGATCTGCAGCAATCAACTTCATTTTCCAAATCTCAAAACGGGGAACACTCACATCTCCGAGTAAAGTCTTCTCCAATCTGCCTTTGACAATACGAGCGCTTGCTTCGCTGTCCGCCGTGACGAGCTTACACGAAATGATCGGGGTGCTGTAACATAAGATAATCAGGATCATTACCACGCGAAGACCAGCAGAAGATGGACCTGATGGCCTTCGCAGCATTGATAATCTCCTTGATACGCGGAACACCGAGAGTAACGTTCATGGATGCAACTCCAGCAAAATGGAAAGTTTTCAGCGTCATCTGGGTTCCGGGCTCACCGATGGACTGAGCGCCGACGGCACCGACAGTGGACCCTATTTTTTGCTCTGTAAGTGCCCACTCTTTGGAAGGGACAATCATTGGCTTACCTGGTTCAATGCGGGCTTTGACATATTTGACCCAACAAAGCTCGAGGAACAGAAGAAGCTGTGCTTTCGTAACCTTGATTCTGCTGCTAATAAAATACTTCACCGCGTCTGAAAAAGAAGCGTGAGGATCAGCAACCTGGTTCCTTCAAGGAAAGAAAGGGATGAAAGTTACCGTCGACTCCAGCATCCAGATCCATATCATCCCCCCACTCCTTATACCTTTCTAACGCGTCGAACAAGCCCTGACTTCTCCTTATTTCCACCAACTTATTCACAGCTCTTTCTATAATGAAGCTTCGGATTGTGCTCAGATATGTTTGCGTGCACTCTGACCGGTACTTCCTAGATTCCAGTTGCCGGTCAACGACCTCGAGTATTTCGAAAGGAAGCAGAGGTCGACCTGCTCGTGATGACTGTGAAGCCATGGCCTATGCATTGACAAAATGAGTCTTGTGCACGATGGGTTTTCAGATGAGGAATAGATACCTCTGAATGTCGCCAAGCCCTCTCCATATCCAACGGTTGAGCATCTCCTTCTAAACACGCCGGGTCCAAACCATCATCACCGTACTCAAATTGTATAACACCACCAGTCGAATTGCGGACGGACAGATCGTATTGAGTGGTCAAGTCTTCCAACGCTTTCATCAGCCTACGCTGCATATACCCAGTCTCAGCTGTCTTGACCGCGGTATCGACCAATCCTTCTCTTCCAGAAATAGCGTGGAATAGGAATTCTGTTGCAACAAGTCCAGAATAGAAGGAATTCCTCACGAAACCCTTGGAAGGAGGTTCTTTCGATTTCTTGGGGAAGTGGGGGAGCGAGCGATCTTGAAAGCCGTTCGGAACACGTTTGCCGGCTATGATCTGTTGTCCGACGCAGGCAACCATCTGAGAAACGTTGATGACGGAACCTGTTCGTAGTCAGAAAACCGAACCGAACTTGGTGGTTTAATATGGGCATACCTTTAGATCCACAAGTAGCCATGATCAACGGGGCGTTTTGTCGGCTCAGTTCCTTCATACAAATTTGACCAACTTCCTCGCGAACTTTAGACAAAACAGAAGAAATCATTGCCTCTAGGGTTTGTTCTTGGTCACACCCCGGCTTGTTTTCTAATTTGCCCTTTTTTGCCTTCTCAATGAGGTCCTGGCACTCTGCATACGCTTTCTCAACGAGAAAGTCCTTCTTCTGAGATAGTTCTGGCCCAGGAATGACATCGTTGATACCCAACGAGAATCCATAATTAGCTGCACATCCGAACGTCAGTCATGTTGGTGGGACGACGAAAACCGATACGGAGGGAAAAGACACACCTAACCAACGAGCGCACAGTTTCGCCACCCTGTTCATCGCTGCAGCAGCCTCATGCGACCCATAGTCTCTCATGATCACACCGAAGATTGACTTCTTCTTCCCACTACCAACAATCGCCTTGTCCATGACTCCACACATAATCTCGCTATTCACAATAACCAACCACCCGTCGTTCGGTGACATATCCTTCGCCAAATTCATCCTCTTGGGATAATTCTCCGGTTTAGCTTCCTCCCATCTATGACATTTGCTCTCGACGTTCACGTAAATCTTCGAGTCTTTATTGGGCCGCATAAGAACATTGAATATCTGTTTGCCTGTCCATAGTCGCACGGGCTTCCATACAGTGGGAGGCGGTATATCGATGTGTAGATTAGCGTCGGCGAAGTAGCAACAGATTTGTGTGAATTGGCGACGGTCGAAGAACTGATCTTTACGAGTCATCAGGTAGGAGGCGGTGATAAAATCTTGTATGGCTGCAATGACAGGTTCGCCGTTTCGCGGCGTGACGAGATTGTGTTTGACGCTCATAAGTTCGAGGGCTTCTGTTCTGGCTTCCTCAGTTTGGGGCACGTCTGAAGAATAACATCAGAAGGACACCTTTGCTTGAGGCTTAGAGCACGCACGAAGGTTCATTTCGTCTCCGTCAAAGTCGGCATTGTAAGGTCCACAAACACATTCGTTGAGTCGGAATGATCGCCATGGTCGGACTTTGACCTGTGCTGCTATCAGAAGGGTGCCTCAAGGTTAAACAGGTGTATACTTACTCGATGGCACATGATGGACAGCTAGAGAAAGTGAACCAATAGAAAGTTGAAAGTTTTCTTGAGGATCGCGTACCTTGTGTAAACTGGGTTGACGATTGAAAAGGACGATATCTCCATCGATGATATGCCTCTCTACTACGTCACCGATAGCCAAGTTGGCTGCGATGAGCGCTCGGTTGCCAAACTTAAGATATTTCTTCCCTCTGTCGTTCGATACATAATTGGCACCAGGATGATCATCGGTGCCATTCCGGATGGCCTGCCTTAACGATTCCATGTTGTGTGACGTTACACGCTCGGGATAAGTAAGAATTTTCGCAACACGCTCGGGTACTGCGACTTCATCGATTCGTAGATTCGGGTCTGGAGAGATGACCGTCCGACCAGAAAAATCCACACGTTTACCGGAAAGGTTCCCACGGAATCGACCTTGTTTTCCTTTCAGCCGCTGTACGAATCCACGGATGGGTTTCTGGCCCATCTGAGAGGGTACTCCAGGTAGTTCAGAGTTGATATACATTGCTACCGATAGCTGTAAGAATTCCCATTGTTCCTATTGCGGCGAGGATCAGAGGGTTGATACGTAATGGAATGGAGATAGGTACCATGAACTGAGGAGTGGGGGCGCCTTTTGATAGACCTTGCTTGATTAACGCATTCGTAAAGACAATCTCAGTCAACTTGACAGTAAGGTCGTCTTCATTTGAAGCACCATCCTGCGCGACAGACGGTCGTATAGCAGGAGGAGGTACCGAAATGTACTGCCATATGAACTCTTCAGGTCTTCCATATTCCGGCTGCAAACCTAAAAGTTCGCAGTCCTGCATCCACTTGATTAAAAGAGCGAGACCTTAGTGTCAATGAACCTGTGGAGTATTCACCTCATCTGTTATCCGTCTGAACAAGTCGAGAACTTTCAGGGGATTTAAATCTTCGTGAACGGACTTGTTTAAGAACAACCCAAGCTCTTTCTGGGAATCCACTGCCGGTCCGAAACTCATCTTCCACTTGTCCATTTCTTCCGCCGTCTTTTTCGCTCTAAACTTGTCATGAATAATCTTCAAGGCTCCAGCTTTTTTCACAGCCCCATTCGTCGCGGTACAATGTGAACAGTAGACCATTTTTCGGGCCATTGTATTGACAGCTTTGAAAAGAGTTTGTCGTTGAATATTCTCGAGGTTTGGCCGACGGAAACGTTTTAGATAGAGGCGACGGTCGGTTTCTTCCAGAAGCACGCGCGCACAAGTCTATGGTATGATCTCTCAGCGTACTGGGCGGTAAGGGAATGGTGGGATATCGTACTTTGCAGATACATTGTAGTATCTGTATCGTGTGCTTGAAATAAC